CCTCCCTGCCTGTGGGTTGGTGAGGGAGATCTTTAATCTCCCTACCGGCCCATGGAGGCTTAGAGCAGAGCCGGCGCTATCCTCTGAATCAGCCAAAACGGAGAACTTGAGATCTCCCCTGCGAGTCTCAATCCATATGTGTGCCGCGGGGATTAGGGTGTGCCCAGGCACACCCGGCACAGCCCCGTGCGCAAGCATATGGCCAGCACTGCAGTTAGACAAGGCCACATTGACTAGTCTGACTGCAGTTTATTGCTAGATATTTTTTAATGTAGCTGTCAAAAGTATAGAGATGCTCTAGCGATGCTTTAGGGTGTTCTGTTCACCCTCTGCTCTATCGCCCTTAGCTCTATCTACAATGTAGAACTATCTACAATTCCAGCCAACACCATCACAGACCAATCAGCACATATATGCCATCAAATGATTGACTATAAGATCAGGCTGAAAGAGAAACAATTCCCACCTTGAAGACTAAGACTGGAATCCAAGATAAAGTCAACATGTAAGGAAGTTAGTAAGTAATGTATCTATGGCATAAGGCTTATACTGGGGATAGTGAATCGATTCTTGACAAACCTTGATTATGCATTCAGTATATTTTAGCATTTAAATATTTTTTAAATTGTATTTCTATTTTATATGGTAGAGTGGAGAATAGAAAAATTAAAAAGGTAAGGGGTTAGGGAAGAAAGTGAAGGAATAAGGGGTGGATTACCAGTGGTAGGGGGTGGATGTCAAGTACACTATGTGATTTCATGTATAGTAAAATTAGTCGTGTCTTCAAATGGTAGATTGCATTAAATAATGCTAAGTTGGTTTTATCTTTTATGCAATGTCTAAAGGAGGGGTAGGCAACCTTCAGCACTCCAGATGTTGTGGACTACATGTCCCATAATGCTCTTATTGCCATAATGCTGGCAAAGCGTCAAGGGAGATGAAGTTCACAACCAAAGGTTGCCTACTCATGTTCTAGAACCTTGATTTGGCTGTATGATACAGGCCACAGAACCCTCCTTTTCATATATTTTATGATCTTGTTGTTTATATATTAATTTTCCATGTTGTGAATGTACCATCTGTTGTTGTTAAAATAGCTCCATCACCCCCATATCAAAAATTATTTAATTTCATAGATAAAATCTTTATGAAATACTCAGAGTGACTGTGTTGGAATTTCACTGTCAACGATGTACTAAGTCAAGGTAGGAACTTCCTACATCTACACAAAGCTTGACACTAGGCGGGGCTACTGCCATAAAGTTTATCATTTCCCCTGGCCATCACCAGTGACGGTTGTAGGGTAATAAAGTTTTTCTATGGAGTATCCTGTGGACTTGTGGGATCATACATAGATCTCAATGCAAGCATGTGCGAGTAAACAGCACTAACGTCAGCTCCTAACAACTGAAGCACTAGGCTGAAGAGAATACTGCAGACAAAGACAGTGGCACTCACAATGGACAGGTTCAGGTAAGTAAATCTCAACTTTCCCTGCCCCCATGGGCAGTGGACCAGCAGCATCGATGTCACTGTCGGGCGACTTTGAAAATTATGCAAAGACTACAGACAGTGACAGAACCGCAGTAAGATAGTTGAGTGAGTGGAGAACACTTTTGCAGTATCAGACAATGCACAAATGAGCAGCAGTGCAGATCTTATGTGCTAGTTTTAGAAACCAGCAAGAGAGAGTAACTGATTTACTGACTAAAAAACAAAAGTCTAACAGGTACCAAATAAATATACTCCTGAGTAGGGGTAAACCCCTAGTGAAAAGACTTCACCAAAAATGTACAAAAAAACGGAGAAAGGGCAGGAGAGATAGGATTAAGTAAAATATCCTAAGGAGTGGATTTCCCTTCTTGTGTTGGGAAACGAAAGTTAAGGGTGTCAAACCAAATGACAGGTGCGAACCTCAAACTATATATAAAATGTAACTTTTAATAAAGATAATACATTAAGAAAGGTGGGAAGCGCCTATCAAACAAAGTGAAAGTGTAGTAAAAACAGTACATTGGCGCCTGTTGTTTTGGATTACACGCCTTATAGGCAACATTCAATGACATTCACTGCAAAAAAAAAATAAACAGCAAATTTGTTTTTATTTGCTCTGAACATTCATTTATAGGAACTAATGTTCTGTGGGATATTTGATTGCCTAAACAAATGTAATTTTACCAACATTCACCGATCACAAATTATAAGCTGTTTTGCCATTTGTTAGGAATTAAACAAAACACCTGACAGCTCAAATCAAAAAGAATTATGTATGTGCATATCGTATTTATTTTCTTAACTTAACCCTATCTGTGCTTGCTTGTTTTTTTCCGAGAAGACATTTATGTTTGTCTGTTAATATTCGCTTGCTTTTGAAATATGCAGATAAATAATTTCATGAGGTAATTATTTTAAAGATTTTCTCTTCCACTGAGTTTCAACCCTCGAACCTTCTACCATTTTCTGTTAGCTCTTCAAATATGGGAGATATTAATCATTGGTACGGCTTTGTGTGTGTAGTAAGGCATTTCTTGGATTTTAACTTCAATGTGGTTGTGAGAGATAACAGATGTGCTGCTCTTTCCCCATGACACCATGCAAAAGCCTGAAAAACACTGTGAAGCTGATTATGGAAATTGATCTTGATAGAAATGCAAAAACGAAAACAAACCCTTCATTCTATGTTAGAGTACAGAAAGCAGCAATGAGCGAATGCAGCCTATAATTTTTGTTCCTCTTGTAGAATGCCTTTAGCTAATTTGTGAGCAAAATCCATTTAAATTGTATCCTTGTTTATAAAGGTAAGACTGATTCTGCTTTGCAAAACACAGAGCGCCTGCAATATGTCCTCCGTTATCTTAGCAGCAGGGTGACAGAGATGATGTGTCATGGCCTGTTACTGGCTCCCAGAGGAAACTTGTGCTGCGCTGATCACAACAGGTCTGTTAAGGCGAGTTTAATTCTTTGAAAGATAGCTTCAATCAGACAATCTAGCTGAGGTCTCATGTGGTGGTAAGGGCTAAATCAAAGCTTTCATAATCTTTTTTTTTTCTTTTTTTTTTTCAAAACATAGGCTCAGATAGAAAATGGATAGCTATAATATACATGGTGCTCTGAAATTGTTAGACATGTGCACCAGTGAAGTTTTCATTTCGTACAAATGATTTCGTACTAAATAAAAATTAAATTTGTCAATCCTGAATTTCATCCGCAAACCATTTGTTTTCAAACAAAATTAGTTAAAAAATAATTAGTTTTCATCCATCAGGAGGAAAACAGCACTGCGCTTGCCCTCTCCCCCCAAAAAGAGGAGGGAACCGGCAAAGCTACCAGCTCCCTCCTCTTAATAAATGAATATCTATTCTTATCCCCTACCTGCATTAAAACCTATTGGGGTCACTATGACCCCCATATTAATAAAAGGGAGGTTAAATCCTCCCACATGCCCCTACTCGCGGCATGCCGCGAGTAGGGGCATGTCGCCTAAACAGTCGCTGTCATTTAAACTTAATATAAATCAGTATAGGGGTCACTATGACCCCATATTGATAAAAGGGAGGTTAAATCCTCCTGCATGCCCCTACTCGCGGCATGCCGCAAGTAGGGGCATGTCGTCTAAAAAAATTTAAAACTGTGTAGTAGGGGCATGTCACCTAAATAGTGAGCAGCCAGTGGCTGCTCGCTGTCATTTAAAACTGATTATAAAAATCAGTATTTAACAGTATATAGAAGAGATAGAGAGCCACGGTAAGAGTACGTGTAACCAAAAGTTATAGAAATAACTATAACAATGTTGCAATATGAAAAAGTAGCATTTTAGATATAAATAGCTATGTTTTACACATACTCTTACCGTACTCTTTACACTTCTATATAAGATACATTTATATCCAGTTTTAAATGACAGCGAGCAGCCAGTGGCTGCTCGCTGTCATAAAACTAAATATAAATCAGTATGGGGATCACTATGACCCACATATTGATAAAAAGGAGGTTAAATTGTCCTGCATGCCCCAACTCACGGTATACCACAAGTAGGGGCATGCCATCTAAACAGCGAGCAGGCAGTGCATTATTTGACTCATAACACTGTGATTGGTTGCTTTCTTTTTTTTTTTTTTTTTTTCAATGTATCATATTTATTGTTTTTTACCATGGAAATGTAAACAGAGGGGTACAGAAATAAAAATGGGGTAAGGGTAAATAGTTACACATAAGCAGACCACATTGTCGAGTACAAATACTATTGGTTCTTTCATACATGCTGCGTAAGACATATTGTCGTTGCTCTCAGTGAGGGTCGCAGCGTGACTCTCCTCGAGTCATGCAGGCCTCCGACTCAGTATGAGAGGGGGGGTACTACTGTGGCCGGTGTACTGCGCCAACAGCTAGGTCACCCACCAGTCAGATTCATATCTACAACATTGCCTGCGTGGGTAGCTGCCGGGGATGATTGAGGTGAGGGGAGGGGAGGGGGGATTAACAACCGGGTAAGGGTAAGGGTGGGGGGGGAGGTTGAGATGACTCTACACCTTGTTGGGTTTTGTGATGGCCCGTTTAGCCACTTTTCTCCAGCTACCTCTGCTTATATGGGAATTTAATTTAGAGGGCTTCCCTGTATATCCTTTTTCTCGTACATCTGGGGTGGGTTGGTCCCTTATTTCTATTTTTACTCCGCTATCCTAGATCGACACGGGCTTTTGTCTCCTTGTCCAGACCAGTTAGACCAGATCAGGTTGTATCGTGCTAGGGTGCCCTGGATCGTATGCACTATTTTCTCAAGGTGTTGCGTGAGGTTTATCCTGTTAACTACCACTGTTATTTCCGGAGCTGAGGTTGATTTCCAGAGGGAAGCTATACAGTGTTTGGCTGCTAAGGTAACATGGGTGGTCAGCACCGCCTCCGGATGGGTCAGTGATTTGGGAAGCATGTGTAGGAGGTAGGCCTCTGGAGTGAATGGTATCCTTTTCTGTATACTGCTTTGGAGTAACATTTGTACCTGCCTCCACAAAGTGTGTAATACTGGACAGTGCCAGAAGATATGGCTCAAAGTACCCGTCTGTGCGCAGCAGCGCCAGCAAACCTGTTGTGACCCTGGGTATATAAGTGCCAGCCTCCGTGGGGTGATATACCACCTCATCCAGAGTTTATAGGCCGCCTCAACATGATCTAGGCAGTGTGTGGCTCGTATTACAAGTGCCATCGCTGCGGACCATTTATTACTCTCTATTGTGCTATTGAGTTCAGATTCCCAGTGCACCATGTAGCTTAACTTATCAGTCTTGCCCATCCCTAGGAGATTTTGATAACATAGAGAGAGTGGTTTTGCTTGGGTCTTTCGTCCAAGGCACAGTGTGTCGAACGAGCCCGGCTCTCTGGTGTCGGGTGCTGCTTGTTTGATCCCCTGCATTATGTGCTTAATACGAAGGTAGGTGAAGAGTTCCCTACCCGGGAGGAGGAAGGTCCGCTGAAGTATTGGGAATTGTCTGATCTCATTGCCCTCCATTATTTGGGATACCCTCTCTATCCCCTGTGCTAACCACCCGCCTAGAACCAGATCTTGTGTGAGGTACTTCAGGCTAGTCATGGGGGCGTATAGTATCAGAGGTTGGGCTAGCAGTTTCGGGGCCCACCTGTGCCATATGCGGAGAGAGTGTTTTGTGGTCACTAACATGTTTGCGTCGCGCGGATGCGATTTGGTCGGGACCCAAAGTAAGTCTAAGAGTGCATGGGGCGTAGCGCTTGCCGTTTCTAATTGGTACCACAGGGGGCGGTTTGGGGTTATCAGCAATCTTGCTGTTTGGGATAGGTTCGTGGCTATGTAGTATTTGGAAATATTGGGTACACCCAGTCCCCCATTCCCCATGGCCAGGGTTGTGCTTGCCATAGAAACTCTAGGTGGTTTCTTCTTCCATATGTGTGCGTTTAACAGACGCTGGTACCGTTGTAGTTGCACCTTTGGTATCTCAATGGGGAGGGCCCTGAAGAGGAATAATATTTGAGGGAGTATGATCATTTTTATGGAGTTTATGCGTCCCAGCCATGATGTGTTTTTTGCCCCCCAGCTCTCCAGCAGCGCCTCTGTTTTATTTAGCAAGGCATCATGGTTGTGTCGGAGTAAGTTGCGTCTCGAGGGTGCCAATTTTGTGCCTAAGTAGGAGAGATTGTCCTTCCGCCAGTCAAAGGGGTATTGAGCTCGCAGGGCGGCAAGGTTAGAGTTCGTCACATTAAAGGGTAGTACCTGAGTTTTTGCCTCGTTGTTCTTGTAATAGGACACTTGGCCATAGTCATGGAGCAGGAATAGGAGATGCTTCAGTGATTCTGTCGGGTTAGTCAGAAATATTAGGATGTCGTCAGCAAAGGCGGCTATTTTTTGGGGACCTATTAGTGAGGGGATACCAGTGATGCGTTGTTCCTGTTTAATTGTGTGCATTAGCGGTTCTAGTGACATGATAAAGATAAGGGGCGACAGTGGGCATCCCTGTCTTGTGCCATTCGTCAGGGCAAAGCGTTGAGAGGTAAAACCGGAGCTCACAACCACGGATGTCGGGGAGGAATATAATGATAGGAGGCCATTGAGAAATTTGTCGGGGAATCCAAACCTGCGGAGGACCTCCGTCATGTAGCCCCAGTGTAGCCGGTCGAAGGCTTTCTCCGCGTCAAGGGCCATTAGTAGTCCCTGTGTTCTGTGTAACGTCAGGAGTTCCATTATGTCTAGTGCACGTCTTGTGTTGTCCTCTACCTGGCGTTCCGGGACAAATCCCGATTGTTCCGGGGAAACAAGTGTACCCAGGAGGGGGCGTATTCTATTGGCTAGGATTTTGGCAAAGAGCTTTGTGTCCGCGTTAAGCAGGGAGATAGGGCGGTAGTTTGTGCAAAATTCAGTGGGCTTGCCCGGCTTGGGAATAGTAATTATGGTGGACTCTAGCATTTCAGGGGGTATGGAACCTGACTCCATGATGTTGTTGAACAGGGAGGTCATGTGGGGAAGGAGTTGGTCCTCAAAGGTCTTGTAGTAGTGAGCGGGGAAGCCGTCAGGCCCTGGGGCTTTATGTCGGGGGGTTTCTCTAAGTGCTTTTGAGATTTCCTCTGGAGTGATTGCGCTGGTGAGTAGTGAGGCTTGTGCGCTGGTGAGCTGGGGGAGTTCCACTTTGTCTAAATAGGCGGCTATCTCCATTGGGGTTGGCTGGTGTTGTAGAGGGTCCTCCGCTAGGTTATAGAGGGCACTGTAAAATGTTGCAAATTCATCCTCTATTAGCTTGTGGTTCGTCAGTTTCGTCCCGGAATTAGCTACTAAGTATGGTATGCGCGTTTGAGCGTGTTTGTCTTTCAGTTTGGCGGCCAGCAATTTCCCCGCCCTGTTCCCCTGTCTGTAATACTCGCTTTTGAGTTTGCGGAGAGCCCTCTCTACTCGCTGGAGTTGGTGAACTTCTAAGTCAGCTCTAATCTTATTAACAGCCTGTCTTGTCACGTCAGAGGGTGAGGATTTGTGGAGGTCCTCCGCAAGTCTCAGGTCCCTAAGCTTTGCTCTGCTGGTTTCCTCTAGTTTGCGTTTTAGTGTCGCTCCAGCCCTAATCAGTGCTCCTCGTATCACAGCCTTATGGGCCAGCCACGTCGCGGCTACGGTTGTGTCTTGGGGCTTGTTGTCCGCAAAGTAATTCACTATGGTTTTCCTTATCTCAACAGCCCGTTCAGCGCTATCTATGAGGGATGCATTGAGGCGCCACGTGCCTCGTCCTCTCACCGGATGTAAAGTGGTGAATGAGGACAGCAAAGGGGATCTTTCAGATCCTTTCCATATGAAATAATTGCAACTGTCACTAGTCTAATACTATCCTTACCTTTTTGTGTCATTTTACCCCACTCCCTCTAGCATGTAAGCTCATTGAGCAGGGCCCTCAACCCCTCTGTTACTGTGTGTCCAACTTGTCTGGTTACAACTACATGTCTGTTTGTCCATCCATTGTAAAGCGCTGCAGATTTGACGGCGCTCTATAAATATCATCATAATAATAATAATAATTGTGGATTAATATCCCAACAGCTCTTTCCTCTCTATATGACATCAACTACATTCCTCTTTTACAAGCAGCACACAAGAATATTCTTCAATTTAGGAAACTTGGGGTTTCCTGGTTGTGCCAGGTCACCTCAGTTAAAATGAACCCTCTCCCAAGATTCCTTTATGATTATTATGCAAATTCTATTTAAGTGTCACAAAGATTAAATATTTTGTTTTTCAGTTTAACTCATAGATGGCATTGTGTCTCAGGGCTCTTTTGATCACTGAAAACAATCTTGGACACCTGTGATAATTAGATTGCCAGGTGAGCTTAACTTAAGGAAAAACTACTAAAGGAGGGTGTTCCACATTATTAAGCAGAGTACCATTTTAATGCAATATGGAGAAGAAAAAGGATCTCTTTGCTGCTGAAAAGAGTGAAATAGTTCAATGCCTTTGACGAGGTATGAAAACATTAGATATTTCACAAAAACGTAAGCGTGATCATCGCACTATTAAGAGATTTGTGGCTGATTCAGAGCACAGACGGGTTAATGCAGATAAAGGCACATTGAGGAAGATTTCTGCCAGATCCATGCATCGGATCAAGAGAGCAGCTGCTAAAATACCATTACATAGAAGCAAACAGATATTTGAAGCTACTGGTGCCTCTGGAGTCCCACGTACATCAAGGTGTAGAGTACTCCAGAGTCTTGCAACTGTGTATATAAACCTTCTTTTCGGACACCACTAACCAATGCTCACAAGCAGAAACAGCTGCATTGGGCAGAAAAATACATGAAGACTAATTTTCGAACAGTCCTGTTCACTGATGAGTGCCGTGCAACCCTGGATGGTCCTACTAGACGACCCCTGGATGGTTGGTGGACGGCCACACTGTTCCAACAAGGCTGCGACGTCAGCAAGGCGGTGGTGGAGTCATGTTTTGGGCCGGAATCATGGGAAGAGAGCTGGTCGGCCCCTTTAGGGTCCCCGAAGCTGTAAAGATGACCTCTGCAACGTATGTGGAGTTTCTGACTGACCACTTTCTTCCCTGGTACAGAAAGAAGGACTATGCTTTCCATAATAAAATCATCTTCATGCATGACAATGCACCATCTCATGCTGCAAAGAATACTTCTGCAGCAATGGCTGCTATGGGGATAAAAGGAGAAAAAGTCATGGTGTTGCCTCCATCCTCCACTGACCTCAATCCTATTGAGAACCTTTGGAGCATCCTCTAGCAAAAGATCCATGAGGGTGGGAGGCAGTTTACATCCAAGCAGCAGCTCTGGGAGGCTATTCTGACATCTTGCAAACTAATTCAAGCAGAAACTGTCCAAAAACTCACAAGTTCAATGGATGCAAGACTTGTGAAGCTGCTATCAAATAAGGGGTCCTATGTTAAAATGTAACGTGACCTGTTAAAATGTTTAAAAAGTTAAAATGTTGTTTTAAGTTTGATTGAAATAGCTTTTGGTTTCAGTAAATATGCTGCAAACACAACAAATGACAATTTTCAGTTCTTTACAACCTTTAAAGTGTTTTGAAACTTACTGTGTGTAATAATTTTGAACAGTGCATTGTAAGTTTTTTATGTTTAAAAAAAATACTGTTATCATTAGGAGGTTTGTTGAATAAAATTTGAATTGTACTCTTAATAGTTGATAAAATGAGAATTATGCTGACTTTTATTTACATCAATTATTTAGGTAAATGAGAAAAATATAATTTGCATAATAATTTGGAACAGGGTGTATATGTACCTAAGTCACATGGTGGACTAGGTTTACCAAATTTCAAACATTATTACACAGTGACTCAGATAGCAACCACCCAACAACATGCACCAGAAGAGATCACAGGATCTAGCACACCTTATCTTTGCTATAGAACATCCCTCCCTTTACAATATCGCCCACTGGTGTCCCCATATCCTCAGCCATCACTTGTTCTTTAGTGAGAACAAAGTAGTCCAGGCTCTCAAGGTCTTCATAAATCAGCAGATTTAGTGGTAAAATATGATGAATACAGCTACGTTTCAATCCCTTATGAGATCAAATTGCTTAATAAAGATCCCATAAGGGTTCTTGTGGAGGCCGGCTTCTTCAAGCCGAGTACTTGGAAGCTTCTAGCGTCCCAGTCCTTCCCCTGATGGTTTTGTGCCACAAGCACCTCCGTTTGTGCTGGTGATGCATTTGGGTCATGCCCCTGGTGGCCTTCAACCCAGGTGGGCTAGCAAGATTATGCCCGAAGGAGACCAGCTCGCCCCTAGGTTTGCCCCTCGGTTCGCATCCCTCCTAGCTCCCTTCTGAAATAGCTGCTGTGCTGCTATTCTGTGTTCCAGCTCTGCCCAAAATCGTGCCAAGGTCTCATCCAGTTGTTGCAGGGTACTCTCCATTATATCAAGGAGGGTTCCCCTCTACTTCGTAGTGCAGTTCACATGAAGGTTTGGTGCACCCGCCATCTTTAATGAGACTTGGTGTGTGCAAGCGGTTACGGGTGCAGAGTACAGGAATCAGCACAAGGAGGTACCTCAGGCAGTCACTGTGCCAGCATGGACTGGGATAACCCCCACTGGCCCAAGGGGGGAGGATACGGGACTCGGCCGCAGTTCAGCCTGCAGAGTTCTGCCAAAGAGGTCAACCACCACTCCTGGTTTGTCCCACACTAGGCCACAAGGTCAGGGGTTCAAGTCGTGTCATGATTCAAACTGCCCCGGTGAGCCTAGTAACGCCCCAGCTTCTCTGGGTATCGGTACAACACCTGTTAGCAGACTGGGTAGTTTATTTGCCCAAGATTAGAGCAAGTATTCACAGAGCTCAAGTACACTTGTAGACAAAAACATCACTCAATTCTATAATCTCCACTCCCAGTCCCAAATAATTGCTTACAAAGACTTACCTGATTCCTCTATGCTTACATTTGACCATTTCACATACATTCAATTGTGCAATCTGGCTTCTCTGTCAGCTGTCAAATAAGCAGGTAATGCTCCCATGATTTTCTTTGAATGGGCGTGCATGGATGCGATAATCCAGAGGGGTCAAGTCTCCACACTATAACTTTAGCAGAAAAAAACTCTACATAAATTGTTTGTACTACATCAACACTTGGGAGAAAGATCTGGGACCTCTGGAGGAGTTTAGCGACTAGTCAGATAGGCTATATCTTCCCTTATGATATGGGTTAACCATAGCAAGTATGTAAGATGCTCTTCCTCTGGTACTTGACTCATCTTCGGTTGTCACGAATGCGATTGATCTCCATGTATCTGTGCTGGAAGGGTTGTAGAGAAATAGGATAATTTCTTCACTGCTGGTGGACATGCCCTAAACTCACACCCATTTGTCTTCAGGTCACTAATTTATTATCACAAATTTTGGGTAAACCATACCCTATAGACTGGAAATATTACTTTCCAAACCTCTAGAATAGCACTATCGTCTCACAGAGCAATAGGGAACTCTGGGCTTCATCAGAGCAATAGGGAAACTCTGGGCTTCATTAGAGCTATAGGGGAATTTTGGGTTTCACTTTAGCCATGATTATCCAAAAGACCAAAAAAGCACTGGAAATTGTTAAATTCACCGTTCAGATTCATGATACACCAAAATCATTTAAAAAAATAAATCTATGATACACCATAAATTATTCCATGGTTGAATGGAGACATTCAATAAAGCAGATTGACTCTTCTTATATACCAGTTGAACTCTATAAGACAGTGTTCGCTAGCCTCCAGGGAGGTCCTCTCTCACTTTCCCCGGGTTTTTTTCTCCCTTTTCCTTTCCTGAGCACACCTCTTCTTTACTTTTCTCTGCTCTCTAATCTCACTCCTTCTCTAATATGTAAATAGTTTTTCATTACCCTGAAGTTACTTTCCCTGTCCCTACCCATACCTCTTATACATTGCTCCTGGAAGCCGGGCTGATGTAATAACCATGCTTATGGATATACATTTGATGGCTAAGAAGTGCTAGTACTGAATTCCCAAATAGCAAATGCTTGACACACTATGTTTTATATAGACAAGTTGGAACCATTTTTTTATCTCTACTATTGTTATACCACTTTGGGTTCTTGTTAAATAATATCTTTTGTGTGACTGTGAAAGTTAAATAAAGAATTTAAAAAAAAAAACTACTGTAAGACCCCAGTGAGCTAAGCAACTTTGCAAACACTGATCAGCCACAACACTGAAACCACCTGCCTAACATTGTGTAGGTCCCCTCATGCTTCCAAAACAGCTCTGACACCAAGACCATACATTTAAGTGTTGCATGTTGCGAGGCAGGGGCCTGCATGGATATGATTTGTTGTTCCACCACATCCCACAAATGCTTAATCAGAAGGAGTATTGGGGAATTTAGAGGCTAGGGAAACACCTTGAACTCTTTGTTATGTTCCTTAAACCATTCTTGAATATGGTTTGCAGTGTGGCAGGGTGGGTCATCCTGCTAAAAGAGTCCACTGCTATCAGGGAACACCATTGTCATGAACTGATACATGTGAACTGCAACAATCTCTAGGTAAGGGAAACATGTCAAAGTAACATCCACACAAAAAAAGAGGACCAAGGGTTTCCCTGCGGAATATTTTCCAGAGCATAAGTTTTCTTTCCTTAGTGCATCCTCCTGCCACCACTTCCCCAGATAAATGATGCACACACACCCAGTCATCCACCCAATCTAAAAGA